GGCATCGTCGGGTCAACAAACCCGGTGGGTTGCTGGCAGAAGACCTGCTCCTCGAGGTGACCATGGAGGAAGGCGTTGGAGACGTCCATCTGGTGCACCGGCCAAGCACGGGAGACCGCAAGGTGGAGAACCGTGCGTATCATGCCGGGCTTGACAACCAGAGCGAAGGTGTCGGTGAAGTCAATGCCAGCACGCTGTCGGAAGCCACGGACGACCCAACGCGCTTTGTAGCGATCAAGGGTACGGAGCTTGTGTTTAAAGACCCACTTTCCGGTAATCACGTTGGCGTGCCGGGGACGGGGAACAAGCTGCCACGTCCGGTTGCGCAATAGGGCGTCAAACTCCTCTTGCATCGCAGCCATCCAGAGCAGGTCACGAAGAGCGGCTTGAACGGAGGACGGCAATGGCGACGGCTCAGAGGTGGACGCCGCATGGACGTAGTCAGCCGAGGCGTAGCGCGAGCTCGGGCGAAAAACGCCCGTACGGGCGCGGGTGACCGGACCGGCCACAGGCGCTGGGAGGGCCGCGGGCGCCGGTGGCGCAGGGGGTGCCGCGGGGGCCGCGGACACCGGGGTCGCCGGAGGGGGCGCGGGCGCCGAGGGCACCGGGGGGCCGTGAGCGTCGAGGGCACTGGGGGCGCCGGGGGGCGTGGGCACCGGGGGAGCCGCGAGCGCCGGAGGAGCCGCGGGGGCCGCAGGCGCCAATGTCGGGGGCGCCGCAGCTGTAGGAGGCGCCGCATGTGGGGGGCGCGCCTCAAAGCCAGGGGGCGCGCTAAGAGGGGCGCGCGAGCGCCCTGGGAGAGGCGTCGAGGAGCCCGCGTCACCAATAGCGGGAGGAACAGCCGGGGGTACCTGGTGAAACGGAAACACATGCTCATCAAAGTAAACGTGTCGGGAAGTGAACACACGGTGGGAGACGGGATCGTAGTACCGATATCCCTTGGAGTTGGAGGGGTAGCCAATAAAGATGCAAGCGACAGATCGAGGTGCAAATTTGTGAGAAGCAGTGTCGGCAGTGCTGGATAGCAAAGGCACCCAAAAATACGCAAGCCGTCATAAGACGGGGGCATACCAAAGAGAAGATGGTCAGGTGCGTAGTTCCACCGTGGACAACAGGGTCTAATGCGAAGGAGAAGTGATGCAGTGGCGAGTGCATCCGGCCAGAAACGAGGCGACACATTGGCATGAAACAGGAGCGTGCGAACGCAGTCATTCAGAGTGCAAAGGACGCGTTTGGCTCGACCGTTCTGTTGTGAAGTGTACGAGCATGTGAGGCGGAAAATTGTGTCGTGATGCGACAAAAAGGTGCGGAAAGCGAGGTTTTCGAACTCTTTTCCATTGTCCGTCTGAAGCGCAAGGATGGGACGCCCAAACTGCGTGCGGACATAGGAGTAAAAAGCCGTCAAGGTAGAGAGTGCATCCGACTTTCTGCGCAAAGAAAAAGTCCACACATAATGAGAATAATCATCAAGAATGACTAGATAATATAAGTAGCCCGAGTTAGTGGGAACCGGAGAAGTCCACACATCGCTATGAATCAACTGAAAAGGAAAAGAAGCAATGGTAGTGTAATTATTAAACGGCAAACGAACATGTTTACCGACTCGACAGGCTTGACAAGTGTGATCCTCGATCTTATTGCAACTGAAACTGAAACTCCTAAGAACATGACGAAGTGTGATGGGGTTGGGATGACCCAAGCGAGCGTGCCAGAGATCGACGCAAGCGGAGAGAGCAGCCGGTGCGGTGGTGGAGGATGAAGGCGAGTGCACCGGATAGAGCTCGTCGGGGCTGTCACATCGGTGAAGTACCATCCTGGTTCGAGCGTCTTTGACACAAAAACCAAGCTTGTCAAATTCAACGGTAACAGGATTTTCACGAGTGAAACAACGAACGGAAATGAGATTCTTAATAAGATGAGGTGATACAAGTATGTTAGACAAAGATAATGGAGTAGAAGTAGAAGGAAAAGAAGTGTGCCCAACATGTGTGATAGGAAGTGTGGAACCGTCACCAACAATGATGCGGCGGTCGGTGGAGACATGAGTGAAGGAGGCAAGGTTATCAGGATGAGCAAACATGTGGCCGTAGCACCGGTGTCCATGTACCAATCACCACCTCCAGCGTAATTGTTCGGCGTAGGAGCGGCATGCAGCCTGGTGAAGAGCACCGGGTCCCAAGGCGCCGGCGACAAGGCCGACGAGGAAGACAGAGACGCCATGGGGAAGCCGTAGCCGCCGCTCAACGGCGACGATGGGTACGCTCCACACAGTCTGCGATGCCGGGTAGGCCGGATGGCCCACCAAAAAAACCTGCGGGCCCGCTGTCTCCTGCTTCGGATGCTGCTTTTTATCGGTCTATCGTTGGTGCTCTCCAGTACCTCACTCTGACTCGACGGGAGATCCAGTATGCCGTGCAGAAGGTGTGTCTTCATATGCATGCTCCTCGAGACGTTCACTGGGCTGCCGTCAAGCGGATTCTCCGCTATATCTGTGGCACTATGGATCTTGGCGTCACGCTTCACGCCTCCGCCGACACCGCCCTCACCGCCTACTCCGATGCAGACTGGGCGGGCTGCCCTGACACTCGTCGCTCCACTTCGGGCTATTGTGTCTATCTTGGACCCTCACTCATCTCGTGGTCGTCCAAGCGGCAGCCTACGGTTTCTCGTTCCAGTCCTGAGGCTGAGTATCGTGCGGTGGCCAACGCTGTCGCCGAGTGTTCGTGGCTTCGCCAGCTGCTTCAGGAGCTCTCTTGCCCTGTTGACCGTGCCACGATGGTCTACTGCGACAACGTCTCGGCGGTCTACCTCTCCGCTAACCCGGTGCATCATCAACGGACCAAGCATATTGAGTTGGATATTCATTTTTTTGGGGAACAGGTTGCCCTTGGCCATATTCGTGTTTTGCATGTCCCTACTTCCTAACAATTTGCCGGTATCATGACCAAGGGCTTGCCTACGACGTCATTTGAGGAATTCCGGTCTAGTCTTTGCGTCAGCAGCGGTGCCGCTTCGACTGCGGGGAAGGGGGGGTGTTGAGTATATGTGTTATGTGCATATTGTGTATTGGGCTGCAGCAGGCGAGTGCTGGCTTGATGATGACCCCCACCAGTACGCGGATGGAGCCCCGTACGCAGGTGAAGACCGGTACGTGGATGCGGGTAGAGTCCCGTATGCCCCGTACGTGGGAACAGATGCGTCGTAGGTGACGGCAGCCCCGTATGGCAACGGGGCCGCGTTGTAGAGCGTCGGCGACGGGTCGGCATAGGCGTACCCCCACCAGGGGTTGACCGCGGACGGAGCACCAGCAGGCTGCAGGGCACCGTATAATTGATGGGCGCCGTATACGTGCGGGGGCTGCGGACGAAATCCATCTGGCGGACGGGCTTCTTGGGCGATTGGCAGGCTAGCAAATCCATCGATGGCTTGGGCTATTGGCTGGCTAGCAAATCCATCGTTGACGGGAGACGAAGTAGCCACGACCTGTACTGCAGCTGATTGGGAGGCACCGGCCATGGAGGCACGAGGCAGCAGCACGACGGGTCGAGGCAGCTGCGGCGGGAGCGGCTGGCGCGATGGAAAAGCGGCAGCAGCGCGTGGAGACGGGCTCGCGCGATGCGTTCGGAAGTGCGTGGAGATGGGCAAAACGCGGCGGCGGGTCGCGACAGGGGCGCGATCGGCGGCAGCCGGGAGCGGCGGCGGCGGCGGCGCGGGTAGACGCGTGGCGGCGGAGCGGAAGCGAGGAAGAAAACCTAAAAAACTGATACCATGTATGATGTTGTAATTGCACGATGTATTGTTCTTCGTGCATAGGCATGTATATATGATGTACAAAGGTGGGCCACGGACCTCAACTATACAAGAAACTAGGAAGCGGATCCAATACACAATATGCACATAACACATATACTCAACACCCATAAAGACCACAGCTGCCACTCGCAGCAGGGAATGCACATAAGGCTATCCACTGTGTCACGAATTCCCAGTGCCTAAACAACACAAGACAGATTTTGCGCACATTTGCACTGTGATGAATTCTCAGCGTCTGGCTAACAAATACTCTCTCTGTACACCACTGATATGGCAAACTAGTCACAATCTACAGTTCTAAACTGTGGATGGCTTAACAAAGCTCAAGGACGCTCGTCACAAAAATCACAACAAATTGTTGCTAGTAATAGTGGTGGTTGCATCATCAGCAGCAGCAGAAGAAACAGCAGCAGCAGAAGAAACAGCAGCAATCCGATAATCGGTGCCCGCCCAATCTACACTTCTACCCTGATGAAGAGCACGAATAGTCGATTCAGTGTTAGGTGCTTCATGCGAGCCTTAGAAAAATAAAAAGGAACATCGTCCGGAGTAGCTAGGGCTCCCCTGGCAGTTTCTCTGCTGACCATGCTATGCAACCAAACGTACCTACAGAAATCTCCAAAGCACGGAAAAAGCAGTAAACTGCTATCACCTTCAGAATCACCAGGCAGACCCTCCAGCTCTAATAAATCAGAATAGGAGAGTCATGTGCCTCACTTTCTATGTAGCCTTCCTCCAAGGCCTTCCAAGATTGTGAAAAGTCAAACCTGAAAATATGTTACTACTTTTGAAGTTCCGATGAGATCAACTATGCAAGTACTAAATTCTATACACAAAAAAGAGTAAAACAAAACATATGAGAGAGAACATCTGAAGCACTTGCTAGCCTTTCAAACAAGACTCTGTTTCATTTCCTCGCAAAATGGAAAATATCCGGTTCATCACCTGAAAATGAACGACAAAGGCTAACAAGAGTAGCCATAATAACAAAAAAAAGCAGCATGAAGAAACAAAGTCTCATCTTATAATGATTGCAGTTGAAGTTGAAATGCATTGGATATCCTTACATAACGATTTCAGACAAGAAACAGAGTCTTAAAGCAACCATGTGAACTGACAACTGAGCTGAAGAGGAAGAAAATAGAGCAAAAATCACATACAAGTGGAAGTACATGAAACAAGCACTACTACACATGATCTTCTGAGGATGGCGTCTGGTCTGGTGTTGGGATCATGTGGTCACGCTTCACAATGCCAGCGTGCGTGAGGAGAGCCCAGATATGAGTAAGAAATTCCCCTCCTTGCCCAAGGCGTTCCATGTGCTCCGCGGCTTTGTCGGATGGCGCGATGTAGATGATGGTCTCAGCCCAGAATTCTGCCAGCACCTTCCAGCGGAGGCCCACATCTTTCACTTCCAGATCCCTCCCTAGCTTCAATCCTTTGATGAAGATGCTATCTTCATTGCCGTTGGTGGTGAAGTCTTGGGCGATGGTGGTATGGTTGCCGTTGCCGCCACCGCTGGAGTCGTGGATGATGTTATCCGTGTTAGTGCTGCCACTGGAGTCGCTGATGATGTTTTCCGTGGTGCCGCTGCCACCGGAGTCATGGATGATGTTGTCTGTGTTGTTGCTGACTGGAGGAATTTGGATTATGGTAGCATGGTTGTCAGGGCCGTCAGAATCAAGGACGACAGTTTGATCCTGGTTACTCCTGATAGTTTCAGAATCCTGGATGACCCTCAGCAATCTATCCTTAGTCAGTTTGTCACCACCCAGTGCACTCTGTACTTTCTTCAGCACGCCATGGACGATGAATAGTGTGTCCGTAGGGTTCTCGGCAAGCAATTCTGGAATGAAATACATTAAGTAGGCACAATATTTGGATAAGGTGGTGGCAACTTGCTGTGCACCATTGTGAGGGCCATCCTCTGCCCCATTGGAAGATGCAATATTGCAGTACTCAGTTGCGATGTGCCAAATAAGCATCACTTCTATTTGGCTATCATTCTCCAGTGTAGAGGAGAGATCTCCAAGGACACCATTATGCTCCAATGCTGCTTTTCCATTAGTTAGAGGACCACCGCCGTTGCTATATATCCGCAAGCAAGAAATTATATTGCTCTTGACCAAATCAGGAACTGCAACAAAATTCTTCCCTGATAATATCGTTGAATAAATGAGGTGGTATACTGCAAGAGCTAGAAAATCCTCGAACATGTTTCCTCTCTTGGGTTCCACATTGAGCCAATGGACAAGCAAGTTGCCTCCAATTACAGATGATTGGCCCATCTTATTTCTCCAATATCCAAAATAACTGATCCTCTTACTGAGAAGATTGTCAAACTTAAACCTTCTAAGAAACCGAATGATGGACGGAATGAGTTTGCATGTATCTCCCCTGGTATAGCTGCAAGCGAGTGAAACAGTGGCCCAATCCGACGTCAGGTAGAGTATAGCCTGCAGAACTTCAAATAGAAGGAGAGCTCCCATAATCATGATTGTAACAGTAATATCAACCCTTCTTGTGCCAACCTCGATTATAGGGTCACTTGAATTGACAATGGTGGGATATCTAAGCAGAAATAATCCGGTGATAGAAGTGCAAATCAATTTGAGAACTACCATCAGAAAGAAATGAAGCTCTAAGGAAAAGAGAGTTGCATGCTTTGTGAAGAAGAATTCATAGAGGAAGCCCAATTCTACCTCAATGACATGAAATGCTCCTGAGTAATGGTTGACTTGATCGTCTTCCGGCAACAAACACTCAAGTGCAAACTTGAGGGTATTGGGTAGTCCGGCCTCGGCACAATCCATCTCAAAGTAGCGGCGGCGCAGCAAGTGAGACAAAGCAAATGAGAGGCATACATCTCTCAGCTGCTTTTTAAGAGGGATGTCATCATCAAATGTTATGCCCCAGATTGCCTCGATGGTGACGGCACAATCCTCACCACCTATGTTGTCTGGTCCCGGAAAATAATAATAACAGACAAGGTATTTGCAATTGTCCATTGTGAAAGTCTCCTCCTGAACAGCTCTAGATCTTGTGTTCACCTTAACCAGAGACCTCATGTAGTTGGCTACTAATTTGCTGGGAACAGAATTCTCGACCATCCAACTAGCAAGTACTCTATACATATTGGTATAAAGCACCAGGCCCATTAAAATAAGAAGAGAAACAAAAATTGGCTATGAAGAAACTTTTCCTTTAGGAGGACCAAGCAACCGGAATATAACAATTAGGTACACATAATACTGAAGGAGCTCAAAGAGGTACCGCTTCCACCTCTTGTTGTCTTCGGTATTATAAGCCATGACAGCATTGGCACACCCGGCTGCCCAGAGGAGGATCACAGCCCAAATAGGATACAACATGTTCTTCACGGGCGAGGTCACCATCTGACCAAGGGTATAGGTGATCACAGGGAAGCTGAGCGTGTAAGCTAGCCAGAGAGTACCTTGGACGAACCAATGGCCCGACCGCCGGCGCCAAGGACCAAGCATGAGTTGCAGGAACAGCATCGCGGCTGCCACAACCACAAAAGCTTCGTTCCGGATGACTATCCGCCGGGGATTCTCCAGATAGGGGGACAAGGCCTCCAGCGCTTGCGTCATGTTGATCGCATCTTGGTGACCATCCATGGCGATGACTCCCTAGCTCACTCTTTCTCTCGTTGATCTTTACTCGTTTCAGAGCTCGTGTAAGCCTGGCCTTGGGTGTGGTTATTGCCTACTGGTGGTTTAAAGGAGGCATATATGTCTACTTCCTTCCTCCCAGTTGTTGCCACTTATTATATGCCTATATCAGTTGAGCAGTCATGATCCATCTTGTATTGTCACATACCACCTCCCTTCTGCTGCAGAAACAGAAACAACCAAATAGACTTCACATGTCAAGCCAAATTCAAGCCGTCCGGGCAGCTATATGTATATATATCTTCGTTGCCGTCCTAATGAAGTCTCAACGAAATATGCATGATGGGATAAAGCTAATCAAACTAATTTTATAGGGTTAGTGGCCAGAGATCACGACATCCGTGATTCCAAAATTAGAACAGACCAAATGATGTAAGATAGTGATTACCCTTGGATTGATGTAGAAAGGTAAGCTACCACTGCAGATGTTATAATGTTTGTGTGTATCAAGTTGTTGGTGCAATACCTATCTTGTACCCTCATTTTCAGAAAACAAGTCCCTTAACTTTTTGAACTTTGTTAAGTTTGATCAAAATTATAGAAAAACTGTCGATATCTATTACACCAAATAAATGCAGAATGAGAGGTTCCCCATCTAAATTTCCACTGAAAGTTGGCCCAAGATTGACCACCAAAACAAACGGGGCACACATAGAGAGAGTTCAGAGTTAGAGAGTTACAGAGGAAGCAAGACAGTGCAGCCATGCATCAGCAATCATAGTTCTAAATAGCGCGCTAAGCATCTTAGCGGCGGATCTCTTCCAAATGCTATAGCATGCTATAGCGCGCTATTTAAAATGTTTCTGCATTTGTTTGGACCAAATTCTCTTAGGGCAAGACCTTTTGTAAACGCTCGGGCTATTTAAAACAGATTCAGTTCAGCATCAGCGCGGCCGGCGAAGAAGGGGGAGGCGGCGCTGCCAGAGGGATGTGTCGTAGAAGCACATCTTCCTCGGGACGGTGGCAGGCTCTCGAACACCTCCGCATTGCGCTGTGTCGAGAGGTGCCAGCAGCAGAGAAGCAGGAAGGTGGGAGGAGCAGAGGCGCCCCGAAGAGCGCGGCACAGTGGAGATCCGCCGGCTCAAGATATAAGTATATATGTTCCATTGACGAAGGAAACGTCGCCGGAGAGGGACCTCCTCCGCCTTCCCGCAATGCCCCGGCGGCTAGGTTTTCATTTCGGGGTCGACCGAGCTATCTGAAATGTGTGGCGGGCTACCGGAGAGGACGCCTCCGGCCTAACTTTCTTTTTTCGAGGGGATGTACCTCCGGCCTAACTGGGCTTAGTCCTGATTGCTTCCATGGGTGCTGGGCCTCTGGGTCAAGCGGGCCTCGTGACAAAATTTATCCAGATTGTGGGCGTGGTCCTTCTCTCTCTCACAAAAAAGTGCCAGTGTTTGTCTCAGAAAAAAAGTGCCAGTATCTCCTAAAAGAAAGTGATAGTGATTTGCAATTTATACTTTGTTGTGGATATGATTATTCTTCCTTTCTTTCTTCTTTGCAAGGGATATGCCTTATTCTTTCTGGATATGATGATTATACATAAAGGCAGTTTCTAGGGAAAATGTAAATAAGTGCTGTTTTTAGGGAAAATGTAAGATAATTTGTTGTAAATTAAGGACTATTTTCAGAGAAAATGTGAAATAATTTGTTGCAAAATAAGGGTTGTTTCCAGGGAAAATGTAAAATGATTTGTTGTAGAGTAGTCTATGGCACATTCTGCATGGGACTGAAGAAAATTATTTTCTTTGGCTTTTGCATACATAGTGTTTCCCTTTCTTGCCCCACTCGAGTCACCTTGCCATACACAGCGCATCCCTTCACAAAAACAGCTCCAAAACAAATATCCTGACGCCGAAGCCGAATCACAAACATGGCAACAAAGGAAACATTTATAACCAATCTGCCAATTTGCCTAGCGTAAACCAACCAATAGGTACATTTTGCAGTCACCCACAACAGCGCGTATGGTATGGTACAGGGGAATTTCCCATCGAACCAACTTGTGCCGATGATCAGCGTAACGGCTCCTACGTTTTCCGGTCACCCAGCTCCGCGCAACAAGCGGCACACCCGCTTGTCCCGTAAAACTAGAAACCCTGGATTTCACACGAGGTTTTTGAAGTCTTTACTTCACACAGGGGGACATTAACCCAATGAGCGGTCATGTGAAGGTTTAACCCAACACTGAAGTTAAACTTCCCTTTCATTCAGAGAATCTGCCACTCGTCTTCTCCTGTTTCGCCGGAGCCATCGAGGTCCTCCGCGTCGATGTTGTCGGAGACACCGTAGCCTGAACAGCCGGACCCGTCATCCTGGTTGTACATCTGTTTCGACAGCTGAACTGGCTGCACGACAGTGAAGAGCGGTGCTCCGTTCGCCTGCTCTGCCAACTCTGAGGCCCGAGAACAGAAATCATCAAAGTCATCTGCATACAAGAAGTTGGAAAGAAATAAAAAAGTTACGAGGCTAAAATTTGAATGACCCGACTCCTGAATCTGAGGGACGGAAGTTCACCTTTGTCACGGTAGTAAAAACCAATAGCCAGGGATGGATCTATCAGGTCTAGAGGCATATCTCGGACGGTGCTGTCCAAGAGTTGATACACGAATTAGGGTTTGGCCATTTGAGAATGGAAGGGAAACTGAACAGTGGAACCGTCTTAATCGTCTGTAACTAGAATGGTGCACATACCTGCAGTGGTATGAGGAAGTGTCCGCCTCCAAGTTATCAGATGCTATGTTAACTGCCTGGCATTAAAGAGGAGCCCAGTATTAGCACCATAGCTCAAAAAGTCAAATGCCCCAAAGCACAGATGCTATGCATAACAACTTGATATGATTGTTGATAGAAAATTGCATTCCAACCGAACAAGAGACGGCAGAAATAGATACCCACAAGAACTATGGATCGGGCTAAAATCAACAGAGTGGAACAAACTAAATATATGCTTAAGATTTTAAAAAATAAGCATTCTACATGTGTTCAGCATAGTGAAATGAACCCTCGGACAGCCTATCGTGCTCTTTTCTTTCCCGGAATACCCGTTCTACCGTTTTCCCCAAGAGGAAGTCAGCTTTTCATGCAGTGAGAAAAATAATTGTTTGCGACTCAAGAATTCTTGTGACACATGTTGAAATCTAACACACGTGATTCTGAACTACAGAGTGGACTAGCCAAGCCAATAAAAGCAACAAATGCCTTTCTCAGCAGGGCATGCAAATAACAGGATCCCAAAATGCGATAGTTGGTTGCTAGTAGTGATGACAGCATGCATAATAGACACTACTACTAACTCATTGAATGGGAGGATGGAGCTGAGAGCTCCGTTCAAAGGAACTGATTAGTTCAGTGGTGCTAAATTAAACTCTAATTATAGATATAACGAATAGCATATCATGTTTGCATTCCATACAACTTATAGATCAGATTGCGAAATTCACCGAAGGCACAAAACTACAAGCCTGCAACATTTGTGAAAATGATGTCTGTATGTGCTAAATAACTGAAAAGCCTGTAGTTTTTACCAGCTGAACCTCATGGGGATCTAGGTAGAGTGCCCTGTCATCCTGCACCCCAGCAATGTAAGTTGATGCTCCAGGTTTTCCACCTAAAATGCCCAAGCTTTGAGGAAATGTGAATGTCTCCTTTAGTAGTGGGATGTACCTGATAGTATGTCCCATGGCAGGAAAAAGGTTAAAATTAGAATAATTTCGTACCAAAGCCATCAATAAAAACATTTAATATTCACAGGGGCACCCCTACTCATAACCTAGTCTAATTGATAGCTCCCACAGGTCAAAACATTAATTTGCCTCTATCTGATGAAGATCAGGAAAAGTAGCCACCAAAACAGAGTATAAGGAGTATTTTAGAAGTAACAGAAATGTAATCAAGTAATTGGTAGGTCAGCACACTTCACCATTTGTATTCCTAGTTTTACTGAGGATGAACTAGCCACCAAAACAGAGTATAAGGAGTATTTTAAAAATAACAGATATGTAATCAAGTAACTGGTAGGTCAGCAAGGCACTTCTCCATTTATATTCCTAGTTTTACTCGGGATGACTACCAGATAACCAAAAATAGATACAGGAACAGCCAAAGCGCAAAATAAGTAGTGATCGCTGATTACCTTGGATTAATTTTGTCAAGACCAAGAACCAGAGGAACTAACAAAAGAACAGGCGACCACACTGATTGAACTTTCCTGAAATCATAGCAAAGCTGAGCAGCAACATCAATGCAAACAACTGGAGCTCCACCCCTTTCCCCATCTTCATCACCCGAAACCACATAGAGCGCCTAGGAAAACTTCCATTCCTATTTACAACTTTAGGTTGCTCTCTATTTGTGCGGATAAGGGTTTGCCATGACCGACACATAGCATATGGACCCACCCATGGTCCAGCAGCCAGACCATGACTCCTTCCAGCTTGAAGTAAATTGTCTCTGGTTTAGAGGTATTAACATCGTAGCTCAATAGTTAAGTGCCCCAAAGCTATCGTTGCTAAATGATTTGTGTACTTCAAAAAATACGTCTATGGGATGCTTTGAGCTACAATCAAAACTACACAAAAGACACATAAGTCTTGCCCATTTGGAGACCCACAAAATTGGCAGGCTTTTAAAGCCAAATGAAAAACCAAGGTCAAATTTTTCATCAATTCAAGCAAGCTTCGGAATAGGAAAATAATTTAAAATTAATTTGGTTGGGGTGCCCCAACTTAGACAGTAGTGCAACGCCTAGGCGACACGCAAGGGGCCCAATAGCAAGCTACTGTGGTGGCCCCTCCCCAATAAAAAATAAATTTAATATCATTCCAGCTCTAAGCGCAAGTTTCAGTATACCAGGTTTTGCACTTCAGATTCCCAAGCTCTTTCAGGAGCAGGTTTCAACCTTCAAGTCCAGCCCCCCTTCTTCCATGTTCCAAAGAATTCAAACACGGCTCACCTGCACACGTATTCAAAATAGCCAGCCTGGTTCGAACTACAAGTATCACACTCCAACTACAAAATCATTCAGCATAATATGACCCAAGAGAGGAACATCATGAAGCCTTTATACCTGTAGTTCAAATAAGAAGCGAACGAATAAGTAACCGTCACACGATCTGCATAGTGTTTCACAAAAGACATAAAGTCGATCGAATAATTATTCAGTAGGTGAGCAAGGCACTTCACCATCCATGTCCCTAGTTTTGCAGTAGCACATAAGTTTTGAGAAACAACCTCATGAAGACTAGATGAGGTAATCAAACATAAGTATAGAAACATCTAAAACATTGGAAATCAGCATTTTTACCATCACCTTCAGAATCGCCAAACTGATCCTCCTGCTCCGACAGAACAGAGTAGGCAAGTAATGTATATCACCTTCCTCCATGACCTTCCAAGATGGTGAAAAATCATCAAACATGACCTTCCTCCGTACTTTTGATGTGATCAGCCACGCAAGAACTATATTCTTTACACAAAAAAGTGTAAAGACAAAAGACAAACAAAACCAGCCGTAGTAACAAAACTCTGTTTTATTTCCTCACAAAATGGCAAAGATTCATTCTATCAGCTGAAGAGTGGAAGAATGTACAACAAAGACTAACAAGACCAGCCGTAGTAACAAAAACAAAAAAAAGGAGCATGAAGAAATGACAATGACGCCCTGAATGAATACAAACATTCTTCAATTGCAGCTGATACATTGGATACCCTTACATAATGATTTCAGGCAAGAAACAGAGTCGCAAAACAACCATCATGTGAACTGAGCTGAAGAGGAAGGAATCAGAGGAAAAATCACATACAAGTGGAAATATAGGAACCAAACACAGTAGCATTATTACTCACGATCTTCTGAGGATGGTGTCTGTTCTGGTATTGGGATCATGTGGTCACGCTTTAGGATGCCTGCGTGGCTGAGGAGAGCCCAGACATGAGTAAGAAATTCCCCTCCTTGCGCAAGGCGTTCCATGTGCTCCACGGCTTTGTCGGATGGCGCGATGTAGATGATGGATTCAGCCCAGAATTCTGCCATCACCTTCCAACGGAGGTCAACATCTTTCGCCTCCAGATCCCTCCCTAGCTTCAATCCTTTGATGAGGATGCTATCTTCATTGTTGTTGGTGGCAGAGTTTTGGGCGATGGTAGTATGGTCGTTGTTGCTGCTGCCGCTACAGCTGTGGATGATGTTATCCGTGTCGCTGCCGCCGCTGGAGTCATGGATGATGTTATCCGTGTTGCTGATGACTGGAGGAATGTCGATTATGGTAGCACTGTCGTCGGAATCATGGGCGACAGTTTGATCCTCATTGCTCCTGATGCTTTCGGATTCTTGGATGACCCTTAGCAATCTATCCTTAGTCGGTTTGTCACCTCCCAGTGCACCCTTTACTTCCTTCAGCAAGTCATGGAATATGAACAGTGTGTCTGTAGAGTTTTCGGCAAGCAATTCTGGAACGAAGTACATTAAGTAGGCACAATACTTGGACAAAGTTGTGGCAACTTGATGTGCACCGCTGTGATGAAGCCCTTCCTCTTCCCCATCGGAAGATGCAATATTGCAGTACTCGGTTGCGATGTGCCAAATAAGCATCACTTTTATCTGGCTATCATTTTCCAGTGTAGAGGAGAAATCTCCAAGGACACCATTACACTCCAATGACGCTCGTCCATTAGTTAGAAGGCCACCACAGTTGCTATATATCCGAAGGCAAGAAATTATTTCGTTCTTGACCAAATCAGGAACCGCCACGAAATTCTTCATTGAGAATGTCAATGAATGAACCAGGTTGTATAGTGGAAAAATTAGAACATGATCCAACATGCCTCCTCTGGCGGGTCTCACATAGAGCCTATTGACAAGCAAGTTGCCTCCAATTACAGATGATTGGCCCATCTTATTTCTCCAATATCCAAACAAATTAATCCTCCTACGGAGAAAATTGTCAAAGTTAAACCTTGTAAGAAACCGAATGATGGACGGAATGAGTTCGCATGTATTTCCTGGGATGTAGCTGCAAGCGAGTGAAACGATGGCCCAATCGGATGTCAGATAGAGTATAGCCTGCAGAACTTCAAATAGAGGGAGAGCTACCATAATCATGACTGTAGCAATAACATTAACAGTACCATCAAGCGCGACTGCACCATTGGGTATATATGTTGTTGATTGGGTCATATACAAACAGAAATACTACGGCATATGTGCAAATCAACTTGAGAAGAACCACCGTAAGGAATACACCTTCTGAGAAAAAGAGAGTTGCATGCTTTGTGAAGAAGAAGTCATATAGGAAGCCCAATTCTACCTCGATGACATGAAATGCTTCTGAGTAATGGTTGACTTGATCCTCTTCCGGCAACAAACCCTCAAGTGCAAACTGGAGCGTCTTGGGCAGTCCGGCTTCGGCACAATCCATCTGAAAGTAGCAGCGAAGCAGCAAGCGAGACAGAGCAAACGAGAGGCATACATCTCTCAGCTGCTTTTTGTGCAGGGTGTCATCATCAAATTTCAGGCCCCAGATCGCCTCAATGGTGATGGCACGATGGTCATCACATGGGTTGTTTAGTTCCATAAAAGGACGCAGGACAAGGTAGTTGCAGCCGCTCATTGTGAAAGTCTCCTCCTGAGCAGCTCTAGATCTTGTGTTGACGTGAACCTGAGCCCTCATGTAGTCGGCTACTAATTTGCTGGGAGTAGAATTCGTGACCCTCCAACCAGCAAGTACTCTATACGCATTGGCCGTAAGAACCAGGATCGTGAGCATAACAAGAGGAACAACATCGCGGAAAGTGCACAAAATGCTGAAGGAGCCTGTCGGAATCAGTTGGAATATAAAGACTAGATACACAAAATGCTGAAGGAGCTCAAAGAGGTAGCGATTCCACCGTTTGTTGTCTTGGATATTATAAGCCGTGAAGGTGTTGGCGCAGCCGGCTGCCCACGAGAGGATCAGAGCCCAAATAGGATACACCGTGTTCTTCACAGGTGAGGTAACCATCTGACCAAGGGTGTAGGTGATGAGAGGGAAGTTGAGCGTGTAAGCTACCCAGAGAGTACCTTGGACGAGCCAATGGTTCGACCGCCGGCGCCAAGGACCGACCATGACTTGCAGGAAAAGCATCGCGGTTGCCGCAGCCATGAAAGCTTCGTTCCGGATGACTATCGGCCCGGAATTCTCGAGGTAGGGGGACAAGGCCTCCAGCGCCCTCGTCCTGTTGATCTTATCTTGGTGGCCATCCATGGTGACCAACTGACGACTCCCTAGCTCTCAGTTTTCTCGTGGATCTTGGTTCGTTCCAGAGCTCGTGAAAGCCTGGCCTTGGGTGTTGTTACTACTTGCTGCTGCGTTAAAAGGAGGCATATATAGTCTAGTGGTATGATTCTCGCTTGAAGAAAAGCACCCGCAAAAAAAAAGGAGGCATATAGGTGGAAAATGCGTGTCTCACACAAGTGGACGACAACATCAACAGCACCGGCACAGTATTATAACCAACTTTTACTACCACTTTACCAGAGACCACCCACTTCGTCCACACACACACCCCGATACATACTCCCTCTATTCCACAATAGCCGCCAACGCCCGCCGTCAACGCGTCGACAGTTGTTGGAGGAAAAAAAACACGGTAGCCGCCAACGCCCGCCGTCGAAACCCTGAACCCTAACGTATCCACGCCGTCTCCACGTTGGCCCCCGTGTGCACGAAGTCGCCGTCGCCCGAGTCGCCGCCCAAACAGGCCGCCGCGCGTGCCCCGGCGCCTTTACCGCTGCCGGCGCGCGTGCCCGCCGCCGCATTCCGTTCCCGTCGCCCAGATGGCCGCCCACCCGCGATCTACGTCGTCGCCTCCCTCCGCGCACTACGCCTACTACGACCAGCCATCGTCCTCACGCCGTCGACACCTGCCTCCGCCGGCCAGCAACGTCACGCCGTCATCACGTTCGTCATTGGAGGAAATGGATCCGGCTGAAATCCTCGCCGCCGTGCAAGAGGTTGGTTTGAGACATTGTTGTGGTTGATAAGATAGTTGTTTTAGGGATGATGTTACACGGCGTTTGATTCATCGTACATTTTTTTAACTATATATAGTTAGAGGAGGAGGGAGATTATGATGGCGATGATTACGGCGAGGACAACGAAATCTCGTCACGGAATATGGATGAACCTCGTGAGGAGAACTACCTGAGTTTGGATGAATCTTATAGTGGCAATGTAAGTGTGATCAATGATGATAAAACAATAAATATGAGGGGGTAAATATGATAGACCGTACGGAAAATTTAATATTTTTTTGCATGATGCAGCGACATGGCGATGATGATGATGATATGGATATAGATAATTCATTTGCTGAAAGTGCACTACGGGTATGTTATTAATAAAATCAGAGAAGAAATGACATAATAACCATATGAGCGCTTACATGTTTTTTTTGCAATGCGCGCAGATGGACGAGGACGGGGACTTTGTGAGGAATATTGTGGACGATGAAAGTGACAAATCGCACGTTGATGCATCTCATGATGACAGATCCAGGAAAGTAAGTTTTGAAACTTACATCACCATAGTACATTTTAAAATTATAACTGACTGACATAAATGGTTTAATGCATTAATTTACAGGGAGATGTAGATGGTACAAGCGGGAATGATGAGCATGTTGGTGATGATCTGTTTAATTTTGACATCGGATGTGATGAATATCAGCAAGAATCATTGGACATGCATTGGAAGGTCATGAGGAAGACGTTCAAGTCACTAGGAGATGCTTACAATTTCTATAATCAGTATGCGTACGAGCCTGGTTTCAGCGTAAGAAAGGACTCACTGAAATATTCGAAAGGTCCTGAGGCAACTAAGCGCTTGAGAAAGTATGTGTGTGCGAGAGCTAGGAAACGACAGGCAAAACGTTGTACAATGGAAGGCAAGACCCGCAGGCTGAGAGGGGAGACTCGTTGCTTCTGCGATGCGCATATAACTTTGAAACTTGATAAAGAGCGTGACGTTTGGTATGTCAGCAGTTTCGATGATGATCACAGTCACGTTCTAGCTAGAACGGATGAAGTCACGTTTCTTCGGTCTCACAATCATATAAAAGAATATCAGAAGGCTGAGATCTTAACCATGGCAGGTGCTGGAATCAGGAAACATATGATTTATGATCAACTCGTTGCGCGCTCCGGGTCATATGCAAAGGCTGGTTTTGGGAGGAAGAAGCTTTATAACATGTGTTATAGAGAAAAAAATGAAGTTGCTTGCACAAGGTGATGCAGACACTGCCATTGGGATCATGATGAGCAGAAAAGAGAGAGATCCAGATTTCTTCTTTGAGCACACCGTCGATGATGAAGGAAGGCTGAAAAACATATTCTGGTGTGATTCTCAATCACGTCGAGACTATGTTGACTACGGTGATGTGACAGTCTTCGATAGCACATACAGGATGAATAGGTATGGCATGCCATTTATACCTTTTGTCGGTTTGAACAACCACCGTTGCACCAGGTATTCGGTTGTGCTCTTGTGTCTGACGAGACGGAAGATACATATGTCTGGCTGCTTCAAACGTTTTTGAGGGCTCACTGTCAGAAGAGGCCCAGGTCAGTAATTACTGATGGAGATGCAGCTATGATTAAGGCCATAAGAAAGGTACTTTCGGAGGTTTGGCATCGTCTTTGCTCGTGGCATATTGAGAAGAACATGCAGAAACACCTTCATCATAAGTCTCTAAAGGAGTTCAGGTCTCTACTTTATTATGCCACTTCAAAAAAGGTATTTGAGGAGAGATGGGCAGCGTTTACCGCCAAATGGCAGTCGGAGAAAACAAAGACATGGTTACGTAGGATGTACAAGAAGAAAAGGCTTTGGGCTGCATCATATTTGTCAGGTGGGTTTTTCTTAGGTATGCGAAGTAACCAGCGAAGTGAGAGTCTGAATTCATGCCTTCACTTGCATCTAGACTCCGGTATGACTATTGTTGATATGATTGTGCACTATGAGAACTGCATAGTTCATCTCCGTGAGAATGAGGCGCATGACGATTACACAAACTCACAGACGGTTCCAGTACCAGTATTGGATGAGTGTAAAGATATTGAGAAATCAGCTGCCCGTGAGTTCATTGCGGCAAACTTTTATATCTTGCAGGAAGATATGAAGAAGGCACGAGAGCTAGAGGTCCTTGAGAGACTGAGAGGAGTAGACACTCACAGATTCATACTGACATGGAAGGAAAATAGGGATATCAGATTCACTGTGGACTACACCCCAGGTAACTTAGAAGAAACTGTGAAGTGCAGTTGCAGAAGCATGTATCCCAAAGGACTTCCTTGCAAACATATTCTTCACGTTCTGATTCAGCTACGCTTACATGAGATACCTAAGTGTTTAGTACTGCGGAGGTTGAGCCAAGTTGCAAGGGGTAGACTTCCCGTGAAGCGCACTAGCGATCTGTTTGCATGGGGATGGGCAGGTGCATTGGACAGAGCTAGGTACAGCGAGTTGACTATCTTATCTGCTGAAGCAACTCATAAAGCATGCCATAAACCATTTTTATTCGACAAGTTGAAGACGGCTCTGAGGGACATAATAGATAATGATTACACTGAGGAGGATGAGCCTGGTGCGGAGGTACAGTTTGTGAACGACGATGCATTCGAGCCTAATCAAGATCATGGTCTTGTTCGTGATCCCGCAAAAGTTAACACCAAAGGCGCACCAAAACAGAATGTTAAAGGCCGCAGTAAGAATGGTCCTGATGTCACTAAAAATGGGCGACCAAAAGCTTTTGATGAGGAAAGCAAACGTCAATGTGGACTGTGCGGTGTTACGGGTCATTATAAGTCCACGTGCCCTCAAAATGCTAAGTATGATTTTCTTATGTTATTGTATATGTTATTGTTCAAACCGAATTTATTTGTTCACTGTGAATTAACACATCTTATTGTTATGTAGGAACTTTGCTTAACTTGTGGAGTATGGAAGATTGGTTCACCCTTTGATTGAAGACAGTTTTATTATGGATGGCTATGGAAGATCGCTCCACCCTTTCATTGAAGACAGTTTTTTAATGTTCTATACATTTGATCTTGAATAATTATTATAATAAGTTATATGAACTTATTTTACTTTGTTGATGTCAGACTATTTGCAACGATAATGACATAAGTATTTGTTTTGATGACAGACTATGTAATGCAAGAAGGAGTTTTACTTTGTTTATTTTGATGTGCTCATTCTGCATGTAGTGCCATCACTGTTTACTGTTAATTTTCTGCACTGTACGGTCGCCGTCGTTTATTTTGACGTGCTCATTTTTGCACAGTAGTGTCGTCGCTGTTTACTGTTAATTTTCTGCATTGTACGGTCGCCGTCGCTTAGAACCCCGTCGTTATTATTATTTTTTGAAAAAAAACCCGACAAGTGCGCCGGCGACACTGTCCCACAGGGCAGCGTCGGACGGCGGCACTGTCCCATAGGGCAGCGTCGGACGGCGGCAGCAGTAAGAGGTAATCAGAGGAGTTCGACAGCCTATGTGCCGCCGGGTATATAAGCCGGTCGTCGCGCGCTCCGTCGGGCGAGGTGGGACTAAACATTTCTTGTTGCCCCGC